CCAATCCCATGTAGTCGATCACCTTCGTCTGCCATTCTTCCAGCGTGGGTAGTTCTTGTGTCTTCCAATACTTTGCTAAAAGAACCCTTGCTGCTGTGGTAGCATACATAAAAAACGTCCTATCTTTCCTTGACACCAATTGACCGACCATGCCCAGGAGAAAAGCCTCTGGTTTCTTATGAAAGGTACATTTAAGGACCTTCTTAATTTCATTATAGATCATTTCCCAGAAGGCCTTAATCCTCGGGCATGTCCACCAAAGGTGATAGAAAGTTCCTTCAGTCTCATTACATTTCCAACATTTGTTATTAGGCAAATGATAGATTTTTGCAAGCTTGACTGGGGTCATGTACCACCTATAAATCATTTTCATAATATTCTCTCTTAGGGCATTACATGCCGTAAACTTTATACCGGTGGTCCATAACTGTTCCCAGTCAGCAAACATAATGTCATGACCAATGTCTTGTGCCCACTTAATCATAGCTGATTTGACTGTTTCATCTTGTGTATTCCACTTCAACAGCAGGTTATACATTCTTGACAAATTCTTAGTATTGGGTTCTAACAATTCTGTTTTCTAACTTTGATCTCTCCACCTGGAAGCCAATTTTCCTGTCCTTGTTAAAGAACTTACCTTCTCATGTCCTGACTTAGAGGTCTTCTGCTGGCCAGGGACTGCTGCTCTCAGGTTTGAGGCAGCTGAATCCTGGGACAAGATAGTCGATTTTCTGTGGACACTGGAGGTCTGCTTTTAAAGTCGGAAAGAAAAAGGAATAAAATTAAGAAAAGTGTCATATTTTTTTTGTCTAGAGAACAGTTGCCATTTATTTGCCACTTGTCTTCTCTTTAAAAAATATGCATGCCTAGAAATAGACTAGACTAGAAATATCATAATTATCTGTCTATGCATTTCTAACAGTATAACCAAATCAGTAGTTTTTGATATAAGTGCAAAAAACAACTCTGAACATTTATTATTCCCAAAATCTTACTGGCTGGTGATTTGAGTCATGATTTTAAATTGATTTGATTTAAATCAACTCTACCCTGCATCATAAGGGACGCGGGTGGCGCTGTGGGTAAAACCTCAGCGCCTAGGGCTTGCCGATCGCATGGTCGGTGGTTTGAATCCCCGTGGCGGGGTGAGCTCCCGTCGTTCGGTCCCAGCTTCTGCCCACCTAGCAGTTTGAAAGCACTCCTTAAGTGCAAGTAGATAAATAGGGACCGCTTTCTAGTGGGAAGGTAAACGGCGTTTCCGTGTGCTGCGCTGGTGCCGGCTCGCCAGAGCAGCTTCGTCATGCTGGCCACGTGACCCGGAAGTGTCTCCGGACAGCGCTGGCCCCCGGCCTCTTAAGTGAGATGGGCGCACAACCCTAGAGTCGGACACGACTGGCCCGTACAGGCAGGGGTACCTTTACCTTTACCTTTACCCTGCATCACACGCACCTGGGGAGCTGGCTGGAGGTGTTGGAGGATGGTGTCCAAAATTTCCCGCTCATCCATCATCTCCAAAGTTTCTCTGAGCGATCTTCCTCTCAGCAGCTTCTTACCCTGCCCACAAGTATCCAAATTTTCTCATCTGAGAGTTCTTGAGAAAGAGAAAGAGAAAGAGAAGAGAGGTGAGTAAGTGAGGCAGACGAGAGGAAAGGTCAGTTATTTGTCAGGGTTGCTCGGTTGAAGTTGCTCCTTCCAGATGGGATTCAATGGCACGTCGGCAGAGTCAAGTTGCTCGGTTGAAGCGATTTGCACAATGAACCTACTTCCCACTCCCCAACAGACTCCAAATCAGACATTTTTCGTGGTGGGAAAAGTGACAGGGAAACTTGAATGGAAAGTGGGAGCAAGCATTTTCTTGATGCAACATTGTCTCAACTCCCTGCGAATGAATTGGGACGAGCGCTCACTCGCTGACCTCATTCAACATCCCCACAATCTTTGGCAAACGGATCCGGATGAAGGTTCAGGAAGCAGGTCATGGGGAAGGGGCCACAGAACTGCCGCATCGGCTCAGTTCCTCGGACCGGCAATGGCAGCCCCAAAGGGTGGCCATGTCATCTCTGCACGCTTCAAATGGCACCACCTGGTGTCTATCATACTGGGGTAAACTTTCAGGGGAGGGGTCTTTCTGGGGTGGCGGAGGGTCATTTCCAGCCTTCATCAGGGACCTCCTAATGAAAGAGCTCCCCACGGCTCCTAGTACTACTTTGTCGTTGCTCTTCACTGTAAACTCCTGCATATCCAGAATTACAAGACACTTCTCACATGTGTGTACGTTCCATGCACCCTGGACTTCTGCTAGCACAATTGGGCTTCCCCCACCCTCTCTTCTCCCCATATGCCCCCCAAGCACCCCCTAATTGGCTCAGGGGTAGGCAGGCGAACCCCCAGAACAAAGCATGCAGGGGGGAAGGAGCGGGTAGGTTGTCCCACCAGGAAAGCAGAAATGTCTGAGCAAATGTGGCAATCTTAGCGCTGTGTTGAATTTGTCCCCTTTCACCAAACTGGGGAAATGGTTTCTGGAAAGTGCAGATAGCAGATGCAGGCCATAACTGAGAAGGGATCATAGAACTGTAGCGTTTGAAGGGACCTGCGGGGTCACCTAGTCCAACCCCCAGCAATTCAGAACAGAACAGGGGCAGCCACCTGGAAGTCCCTGCTCCATGTTACACGCCTCTTAAAAAGGAGGGGTGGGGTGGGTGGGACTTGCGCCCAGAGATCAAGGAAACCAAGAGAGACCCCGGCCTCGGATGACACAGGCCTTGCCAAGGGGAACCCGAAAGGGATCTGGTTCTGTCTACTCACCTGGGAACACTGGCCCAGAATCCTCGGGGCTCTTCTTTTCCCCCAGGAACAAGTGCCGCTGCTGCCTGGAGTCCTGTCTGCTGCTGCCTGGCTGAACAGTGCTGGTCTGACGCTGGACCAGCTCTGGGAAGACTACTACCGGAGGGGCCAGAGATTTCCTCCTGGCCTCCGCAGGTGACTGGGAAGCTTTCACCAGCATGGGCAAGAGCTGGGAGGTTCTCTGGCCAGCCGGGTCATGGGTGGCACTTTGTTGCAGACTAGATGACGGGGCCTCCAGCTTGTCCCGCTGCCCCTGGTTGCTCTCCTGGATGTTTTCATTACTTTCCTGGTCCTTCTTTTTCAGGCACCAGAATGTCTGCAGGAAGGGTTTCATCCTGCAAGAGAGGAAATGGCCCCCTGGTTGGTTTGCTCATTGGGAACCCCTTTGGACTCCCCTTCCTTTCACCACTTGAGGGGCAGCAAGCAATCCCTCCCTATTGCTGCACGCCAACCCAATCTCTGTGGTGCGAGAGTCCACGGGTTCCAGGCATTCACCCAGGGTTTGTGTTTACTTTGGGATTGAGGGGCAGCGGAGACGGTGATCTCTTGAGGATCTATGGTTGATTTACACATCTATGCAACCTGAGCCTATGATGGAGGGGTTCACACCATCGACACCCCAAGAGGGTCTTGCGTCTCCCGTAGTTGTAGAGTGTCAGGCTGGAGCAGCAAGAAGAAGGTGATTGGGTTGCTGCAACTCAAGTGGTGAAAGGAAAGGCACTTTGCATATGTTCAGAGGCCTCCTTGCCTTCATTAGTTCTCCTGTCCTAAGACTGAGATTCTTTAGGGCTGAAAACACGCAGGAGTTATTTTACCTGATATTCTCCTTCGCCTCTTTGTGATCTGTAATCTGTAATCTTCAGGGGGCAAAAGGAAATAAAAAACTCTCTGATAATGTGGCTCCTCCTCACCAGCGTTGCTAGGGGCCCCCAAGCCCCTGGAGACATGAGGTCACAGCGTTATTTATGGCAACATCAGGAGTGCAATGATGTCAGTGGAAAGGAGACCTCTTGCTCACCTGGCCTGGGACAATGGGCCAGGAGTGTGCAGGTGTGGCCTTGCAGTTTCACTGCGGTCCCCCTGGGTTTTGCTGAATCCAAAAGCCATGTGAGATTTTTTTGGCCAAGCAGGTCAAGGCAATATCATTATTATATTTATTAAAGTAAAATAAATACATCAAATTTCTATGACACCCTTCATCCGAGGATCATATGCTTGTTTCACCTCCGCACTTTAAGTTATGGGTGGCCTTCCTCTCTTGCCAGCATTGTACTGTATATAGGGATGAAAAATGCCTGGCTTGAATTTATTATTAGAATGATCACATATTTATTTTCCTGACGGGGACTCAAGGCAGCTCACGGATGAAAATAAGACAAGCTAAAAATATTGGGGCCAGGCGGGAAAATCAACAATTAAAAAGCAATTAAACACTGGTTGAATTACAACTATGTGTTGTTGTTGTTTAGTCGTTTAGTCATGTCTTACTCTTCGTGACACCCTGGACCAGAGCAACGCCAGGCACTCCTGTTTTCCACTGCCTCCCGCAGTTTGGTCAAACTCATGCTGGTAGCTTCGAGAACACTGTCCAACCATCTCGTCCTCTGTCGTCCCCTTCTTCTTGTGCCCTCCATCTTTCCCAACATCTGGGTCTTTTCCAGGGAGTCTTCTCTTCTCATGAGGTGGCCAAAGTCTTGGAGCCTCAGCTTCAGGATCTGTCCTTCCAGTGAGCACTTAGGGCTGATTTTCTTAAGAATGGATAGGTTTGATCTTCTTGCAGTCCATGGGACAAATTCACACGGGACAACTGGCTATTGTGGTTTATTATTACGGGGCGAGTGCTTTGGAGCTTGTGTCCTGCTTGTGGGTTTTTCCTTGCTGCATCTGGTTTGCAACCATGGGATGCTGGACTAGATGGGCCTTTGAGCAGCTCAGTTGGTTAGAGCATGGTGCTGAGAATGCCAAGGTTGCAGGTTCAATCCCCGTATGGGACAACTGCGTATTCCTGCATTGCAGAGAGTTGGACTAGATGATCCCCAGGGTCCCTTCCACCTCTATGATTCTTCTATGACTTCTGTTTTTCCCCCCATCCCTCAGCTGTTACAGCTCAAACCAAGAAGCGAGCCTAGCAGAAAGAAGCCACATGATCAAACTCAAGACTGAAACGTTTTATTAAAAGGGTTCTTTAATTTTCTCTAGGAAAACAATCATACATACAAAGAACAGGGGAAGAAAGGAAGGCTGTGTGTTTTCTCTAAGGCACAAAAGTGTTTTTGAGAGAGAAAAACGATCAGCACACCGACAGCAGTCATCAGAAGGTGTGTGCCTGCAGCAAATCATCGGCAGAAAAATGGCACAGTTGCAGCAACGGGCGAGGGCATGGATTGCTCTTTGGAAATAATATTAGCTGGCTCCTGTAAGCAGACAGATCCTCCAGCTAACAACTCTCTTGCTGAGTCTCTTAGTGAGGGGGGGGGCTATTTTATTGGGGGGGGTACTCTTCCCAGGGTAGCCTTGAGAGGCTGAATCGATCAGCATCAATGTAGCTGGGAAAAAATACAGAGAACTTTGCTATTGCAGAAGGAAATTGCAGAGAGTTGTACATATGACATTTCTGGGATCGGGGGGGGGGGGACTTTAAAACATCGTTGTCCAAGGTGCGCTCTGGATTCGCAGCAGAAACTATGACAAAACCCTCAAGTCGAAGCCACAGGCTGCTTTGTTTGCAAAGTTTTTTTCCTCCCCTCCTAGACTGGTTTTTAGAAACCACGCTTCCTCTGGTAGGGAGGAAGAAGTGGGGTTGGGGCTAAGTGGCGAAGACGGTTTTGTTCCCCAGCACAGCAAGGAAAGGGCCCAGTGTTCTTTGGACGGTTCAAGGGACGCCTCAATAAGGAGGAGGTGGGGAGGCCTTGGTAGTCACGTCTGGGTAGGGGCGCAGCGGCTCCGGGTGGTCGATGGGCTGGTACGAGCTGCGGTCCTGCCCGACGTTGAGGACACCTGTGCAGAAGGAAAGGGGAAAGCGACAGCTTTTAGTCTTCGGATGCAGCACCCAGGGTTCAAGGTGTTCCCAGCAAGAATCTAAGTGCTGGGATGAGCTGCAACTGGAGAGCTAGCTGTAATTTTCTGAGCCGTGAATTAGACTATCACTTGAATTTACAGCCCCCAATACCTTGCATCAATGGGATGCGGGTGGCGCTGTGGGTTAAGCCACAGAGCCTAGGACTTTGCCGATCAGAAGGTCGGCGGTTCGAATTCCTGTGACGGGGTGAGCTCCCGTTGCTCAGTCCCTGCTCCTGCCAACCTAGCAGTTCAAAAGCACGTCAAAGTGCAAGTAGATAAATAGGTACCGCTCCGGCGGGAAGGTAAACGGCGTTTCCGTGTGTTGCTCTGGTTTGCCAGAAGCGGCTTAGTCATGCTAGCCACATGACCCAGAAGCTGTACGCCGGCTCCCTCGGCCAATAAAGTGAGATGAGCGCCGCAACCCCAGAGTCGGTCACGACTGGACCTAATGGTCAGGAGTCCCTTTACCTTTATACCGTGCATCACAGCTCTGACCGCTGGCCATGTTGGCTGGAGGGCTACTGTTTCTCCACCTCTGAACTAGACCGTCACTTGTCTTCACTGCCCCTAGGGACCACTGACCATGGCAGCTGCGGCTGATGGGAAGTAAATCTCATCTCAAATGCTGCAGGTTCCCCATCAATGAACCAGACCATCACTTGCCTTTACTGCCCCTGTTCCTTCTCAGTTCTGCCATCTTTTTTTTTATGCATGGCCAGGTAGCCTGGTTGATGGACAACAAATCCCATCCTTGTCCCTATTGGCCATGCTGGCTGATGGGAGTTGGCAGTCCAACCATGTTTGGAGAGTCACAAGTTCCCATAACCATTGCACTTCTTTGTTCATTGCCAGTGATCAATTTCCAAAATGAGGGATAGGTGCTTTGTGTCCAGGAAACCTCGCCTCTCAGGTGGCACTTTTGGTTGCTGTGAGTGACTAGGTGGGGAAGCACTCTGCACATGCTCTTCCGCACCTTCTTTATGCAAAAACCCTAGAGTCCATTGGCCCAGTCTTTGCTGACTTTAAAAATAGTTTGGTAAACTCCGGGAGCTTGGGTCTATCTATGGAAAGGTAAAAGGTCAGGGCCCCCTTGACGGTTAAGTCCAGTCAAAGGCCACTATGGGGTGTGGCGCTCATCTCGCTTTCAGGCTGAGGGAGCCAGCATTTGTCCGCAGACAGCTTTCCGGGTCATGTGGCCAGCATGTCTAAACCGGACAGGACACCGTGACGGAAACCAGAGCGCACGGAAATGCTGTTTACCTTCCTGCCACAGCAGCACCTACCGTATTTTTCGCTCTATAAGACACACCCAACCATAAGACGCACCTAGTTTTTAGAGGAGGAAAACAAGAAACAAGAAAGCGATGCAAAGCCTCTTGAGTGAAGAGGGAGGAATGCTCCCACTGCGCTCATGAGGCTTTGCGTGGCTATCCCTGAAGCCAGAAGAGCAAGAGGGATCGCTGCGCACCAATCCCTCTTGCTCTTCTGGCTTCAGCGATAGCATTCACTCCATAAAATGAAGACACATTTCCCCATACTTTTTAGGAGGGGAAAAGTGCGTCTTATAGAGCAAACAACAACAACAACGGTATTTATCTACTTGCACTGGTGTGCTTTTGAACTGCAGAAATCCGTTCCGCGATTCTCTTCGTCTAGCGGTTTTTTCGTCTTGCGAGACATTCGTCTTGCGGGGCACCACTGTAGTTGCTCTGGAAAAAAAGTGGGATTCTCTCTTCCCTCTTTTTATTTATTTGCACAGAGGTGCTCTTATGTGTGTGTTTTATTACAAATAGAGCAGAGGGGGGAAAGGGAGAAGGAAGAGGAAAAAACAAACACCACCATTTCCTACTGACATTAAGAATAATTCATCATCCAAAAAGATAAGAATAACCCATCAAAAAGGCTGTTGATTTTTCATCAGGTCTTTTTTAAAAAAATACCCCATACATACACCCCCCCACCCCACCCCCACACCATTGATTTATTAACCTCCTTCTCAAGGCAATTTACACATAAGGTAATTTAAAACCGTTAATAACACTTGAGACAACAAAAACACCTAAAGCAAGACTAAAACTGCCACCAGATTCAGCAGTAAACAGTGAGTTTTCTGGGGAAAGCAGACGGGCAAACGAAAAACTTCTCGAACTTGTGCCCAGAAAGCACTGGCCAAACAGAAGTAATAGTGTGTGTGTGTGTGTGTGTGTGTGTGGAGGGGGGGGCAAACTTACTTGGAGACAAATCTTCTGCTCGGTATACGAAGAGCTGGAGCATGGCTCTGCGTACTGCTGGCATTACTGCTGCCTGCAGGAGGTTGGCTTCCAAATCGCCACTGTCTGGCAAATGGGCTGCATCCTTGGAGAAGAGAAAGGCGCAACATAAACCTGTGACCCAGATGCTGGTGGCCCTCTAGATGTTTTTGGCTCACAACCCCCATCAGCCCCAGCCTGCCCCAGCTGTGCTGGTGGGGATGGATGGGAACACAGGAAGCTGCCTTGTCATGGATCAGGCCATTGGCCTACCTGGCACAGTGCTGTCCACACTGACCAGCAATGGCTCCCAAGACTTTGGATGGGAGACATTCCCTGCCCCACCTGGAGATGCGGGGGGGGGGGCAGGACTTCCTGCAAGCAAAGCAGGTGCTCTGTCAGGGAGCTCCCTTCCCCATAATCCTTTTTCAGTCTCAAATATCGGGAGGGCCCTAGGTGGGTGAAAGCTGTCACAGACCATCTCTACAGAACACGGAGGGAGTTTCAGATTCAAACAGGGCATTTTCTGTGTTCATTTCAGTGGCAGCTGCAAAAGAAGCACAAACACTGTAGCAGGAACAAATGCAATGTTGGAACCAGCCGACAGTTATGCAAGGAAAGCTGTGGAAAACTCAACCCAGTTTAACAGGCATGCCGTCTCCCAAGAAAACAGTAGATCTGGCATGTGGGACCTGCTGTCCTGTAGCTTCTTCCTGTGGTGAGCCACACAGGAGGGCCACATGGGGGCAGGCAATGGTGTAAGGTGGGCCTTTTCGATTTAGCCAGGTACTCAGAGTAGAATTCATGGTTCTCTTTTCAAAACAACCTTATGAGGTAAGGTAATGAATTAATTATAGGTCTTTTCCCGCTGCTTGTTCATGTTCCTGGAAAAGTCTGCAACAGTTCAAATATAGGCACAAATAAAACTTAAATAAAGCTAAAGACCACAGAATTGCAAGAGCAATTAAAATTATCTGCAAAAGGTGAGAGAAGGAAAAGCAACAACAAACAAAAGACAGGCTTCAGGCAAACTTCTCTGGGGAGGGTGTTCCATGGCTGGAGTGCTACTACCCGAAAGGCCCTTTAGATAGTGGGGGAACCCCAAGCAGCTTTCCTATGAAGTTCTTAATGTAGGGGCAGGTGCAAATCGAGACAGGTGGTAAGGTCAAGATGGAGCAACTGGACCCCATTCACCCACTGAGCTTCAGGGCAAAATAGGAGTTTGAACCTTGTTCCCCACAGGAATAAGTCTAACACTCCATGTCCACCATCCCAGTCTGGCATAGGAATTTGGGTGGGGACCCCACTTAGTAGAATCATGGAATCATAGTTGGAACGGATCCTGAGGATCATCTAGTTCAGGAATATGCAGCTGTCCCTTACTGAACCCGCAACCTTGATGTTCTCAACACCACACTCTAACTAACTGAGCTGATGTTGGCATCCTGTAGCAGGACCCAGGTATAGATAATATTTATCTTCTTAAAAATGTTGCTGCTAAAATCCCAAGTTCTTCCTATTTAGGCTGCTGGTACAAGGCCACCAAGAGTTCTGCTTGTCTAGTCAGCCTGTCCTGCTCTACTAAACCATTTAGCAAGTTGGCGTCTGACCTAGGTAAAGGTAAAGGTACCCCTGCCCGAAGGCCAGTCGTGTCCGACTCTAGGGTTGTGCGCCGATCTCACTTAAGAGGCCGGGGGCCAGCGCTGTCCGGAGACACTTCCGGGTCATGTGGCCAGCGTGACGAAGCTGCTCTGGCGAGCCGGCACCAGAGCAGCACACGGAAACGCTGTTTACCTTCCCGCTAGAAAGCGGTACCTATTTATCTACTTGCACTTTAGGGGTGCTTTCGAACTGCTAGGTGGGCAGGAGCTGGGACCGAAAGAGGGGAGCTCACCCCGCCGCGGGGATTCGAACCGCTGACCATGCAATCGGCAAGCCCTAGGGGACTGAGGATTTACCCACAGCGCCACCCGCGTCCCACAGGCGTCTGACCTACCAGTCTTGAAAAATGATGCTTTATTCCATTATCCAAACAAGGCACCCCATCATTTTAATAGCTGCCAATGGCATCACATGAACTTGAATGCCCGTGACAAGCCTCTGTTGAGGTGGTGAAGATGCTGTAATGTAAAGATTTTTACCGGCGCCTGATCTCCAGCTCCAAGGACACAGAGGTGAACTTTCACATAGCCCCTTAGTCCGGCATTGAGATTAGCTGGGTCATAGAGGCTCAGCCATTTGCCCATCAGAGCATGACCTAGGGAAAAGAACAAGAGCCAACATTCACACCATCCAGAAGTGCCATCTAATTGTGGACAGACATTCATTTGAAAAACATTCGAAGATCCTGCTGGATCAGGCTTGGCCAGCATCCTGTTCTCACCAGGGCCTGTCAGATCCCTTTGGGACCCGAGCCCAAGAGCCCTCTCTCCCCCGGGGTTTCCAGCAGCTGGTCTTCAGAAGCCTTGCTGCCTCCAGCCATGGAGGCAGAGCATAGTCATCATGGCCAGCAGCCATTGATTGCCAAGGACAGCCTTTTCCTCCATCCTTTTTTAACGCCATCCTCGATGGCGGCCATCACTGCCTCCTGTGGCAGTGAGTTCCACAGTTCAATATTTTAACTGTTTAACTGCTTTGTGAAGAAGGGCTTTCTTTTATCTGTCCTGAATCTTCCAACATCATTGGTTGTTCATGAGTTCAGGTGTTATGAGAGAGGGAGAAAAACATTTCTCTGTCCACTTTCTCCAGGCCAGGCATCATTTTAGACACCTCTGTCATTTCACCTCTTGCCCACCTTTTCTCTTAACTAAAAAGTCCTCGCAGGGGAGTTGCTATGAGTAACAGTATCACAAGGATGCTTCCTTTTTGTCAAACGTCAATATAAAACTGTGTGACCTGGTCAGAGTCCCTCTTTCCTTACTCTGTAGGTAATATAAGCTGTCAAGCCCTAAATCTGAGGTCTGAGCTGAAACTTTTCACAAGTTTCCATGAATGGTTTTGGCCCTGTTGATGAGGGCTTCCTTTTCCAATTCTTTGAGGCACTCCTTGTGAAAAGGTTACATTGCCTCACTAGCTCTCACTCTCAATTGCCTTCAATTGCCATCACCATATACTCAAATCTGACGGGCTCTATAGTGTAGTAATACCATCCCATGTCCTACAATAGCCGGTTTACATTTCATTTCCCACAAATATACATAGAAAATAGGCAATTTAAATATAGTAGTAGCACAACAGCTGTAATATGTAATACAAATATAATGCACTACAATATAAAAAGCATATTAGCACAAAACAACCAGTAGGACAATTAACAGGATCTGACACCAAAAACATCCATGGAGCTTGTGATGTGAGGATGGAGCACAAAGCCCAATGGAGGGCGGAGGAAGGGAACAGTGGCTGAAGGGTCTTGGACACCCTGCCTCCCAAGAGCCCTCAAACTCGCCACTGGCTCAAGACAAAAGTACCTGGAGATTCATACACAAGCTCGATCTCAATCTGCAGAGAGAGAAAAACAGAAGGAGTTACAGGAATTGTCAAGGAAAGGAAAAATTGAGCTGTGGGGAAATTTCAGGGCAATTCAGAATATTGCAAAGAGTTTGTGGTTAGACTAAATTGTGGTGGTTTTTCCTTTTTGCGGGAGGTGGGGTTCCCTTCCAATCCTGTGATTTTATAACTAAAATGGGGTTCCACAGGAATAGGGGAGATTGCTAAAATGGTCAAATGCTTCTTTATTAAGGAAATAGCATAGGCAGGTCTATTAAGTATCTGTATTGTAATGTATGCTAATGTGTTGTCACAGAAACTCTAAATCTCTGGAGGCTCTTCTGGGTGGTCAGTGGAAGAGGGTGTGTCTCCCTCCCTCTCCCTGGCTAAAGGGGACGTCTTCAAGACCTTTTCTGTGTGGAAAAGGACACAGGAGAATGGCCGTCTGGGGGCTGGAGCTACAGAAGAGACACAGAGGCCTGACTTGCTCTCTGCAAGAATCCAAAGCTATGCCTTTGGTGACCCACCCCAGGAACCGAAAGTAGGAGGAAGAGATGATCAGCTGGAAGATTAATGCTGTAAACCTTCCAGAAGATGCTCAGCCTGTGTTTATAAACCTTCTACCACAGAAATCACCATCAGCCTTCCGTGGCCTTCACTCCAAGGAAACCAACCCAAGGTATGAGCTGGGACTAGGGATTTACAAATTCTGGTTTCTAAGTTTCTCCTTTTTCCAATCTTAAATTCAGTTCTTCACATTTCTGCAGCAATTTGGTTTTCTTAGTGTGAATTTCCCTAATTCTTAAATGCAGTTTTGAACAAATATAGACATGTTTGCAAGCACTCTCCCTATGATAATGCATTTTTGTATGGCATTTTCACTGATGTATGCCTGTACAGGCAAACGTTACCCTAATATAACATTGCATTTAGTAGTTGTTGCTCTAATGCAGTGTTTCCCAACCACTGTTCCGCGGCACACTAGTGTGCCGCGAGATGTTTGCCTGGTGTGCCGCGGGAAAAATCAAAAAATTGAAAGATTTTTTTTTTAAAAGTCAAATTTTCGATTGGGGTGCCGTCACTAGATGACCCCTGGGGTTCCCTCCCTCCCTCCCGCTCTGCGCCTCCCTCCTCCTCCCTCCTCCGGGGAGGCCCTTCCTGGCTCTCGGCCAAGGCTTGGTGGCTGCCACTCACTCACTCGCTCGCCCACCCGTCCCTCCATCCCTGCACCCGGCCTCTCCCCCTCTGTCCCCGGCGCGGGGGCTGCCGGGATCCATAGTCCCCTCGCCCTTGGGCTCCGCGCCCGCGCGGGGTGCGCGAACTACGTTTCTCAGCGTGGCCTGGCGGGCCGGGCGTTTTGTTTGAAGCGCTCTTCTCCCGGCCATGGAATGAGCGCGGCGGCGGCGGCCGGGCGGGCAGGGGCTCTTCGCGCAGACCCCGCGCAGCCTGCCTGCGCCCCCGGAGATCGGGCGGCAGGATGGAGCCCGGGGATCCCCGCGGAGGCGGAGCGGCGGAGGCGGAGGCTGCCCCCCAGGTAGGGCTGCGTCGGGGTTTTTTTATTTTTGCAATGCTGCATCCGCGCCGGAGGGGACGCATCGGACCGCGGGGAGACCCCTTGGCGGGTGTGCAAGGCAATGCATGCGTGCAGTCGTTGCATGGAGTGCAGTGCAATGCAATGGCAACGCGGCGCCCTGCATGCATGCATGCAACTTCCACCGGCGCTCCGGACTTGGCAAGTGAGGGGGTCCCCAGTGGGCAGCAGAGAGAGCCGGGAGGGCGAAGGGAAGCCGGGGGGGAGCAGTGCTGCTCCCCGAGCCGAGCCCGGGGGAAAACTTCGGGGTCGTTGCGCCGGGTGTTGGAAGTGGAGGCTGGCGGGGGGCCCCTCACCTGCAAATCCTGGTCGCCTCTCATATATTTCGTGCATTGCATTCATCACCCGCTTTCTCCTCCAAGGAGCTCCCGGGGGCGCGCGTGGTTCTCCCCGTGTTATCCTCGCAACAACAGCCCTGCGAGGTGGGTCAGGGGAGTGGCCCAAGGGAGCACCCAGGGATTGTCCTGGCCAGGTGGGGTGATTTGAACCCTGCTCTCTGCCCGGTCTTCGTCCTCATTTAGCCCCCACATGTGCATGACTGTGCATGACTGAGGTTTTCCCCCCTCGTCTTGGCTATGGTGTGAGTCTGTGCTGTTAATTAATGGGGTTCTGCCTTCGGAGAAGATGAGCCAGCCCTCAAGGAGGTGATTATGTAATTTGCTAGCAATTCATGTCCCTCCCGGCGTGACGCTGCGCGCTGACGTCACGGGGCTGGAATGGTGGTGTGCCTCGAGATTTTTTTCATGAAACAAGTGTGCCTTTGCCCAAAAAAGGTTGGGAAACACTGCTCTAATGTAATTAGCTGCCATAAATAGAGCCTGTTAAGTGTTGGATGTTGCCAGATGTTGAGTGCTACCAGTGGTAAAACAACAAACAAACAATGAATGAATGAATGAATGAATGTCAAAAGCTTGGCTGAGAGATCAGAACTTCTGAAAAAGACTCTTTCCCTTGTCTTGGGGGCCAGCCCAGGGCAGCTCAAGGCCCAGTCCTGAGTTCAGGCCCACTGAGCAGCACCAGCAGGGAGGCACCTCTTGATTTCTGCCTCTCTGTAGATATCAGCCCAAATTGCACCCTGGAGACCCCAAGGAGGGAATCGGCCCGTATTGCCTTGGAGTTCAGCACCTAAAAAAGAAACACACATAAATTCCCCTCCCACAAAGCTGCCTTGTTCGTCTAGTATAGGGGTTGGCAATGCAGTGCCTCCAGATGTTGAGGACTACAATTCCTATCACCCTTGATCACTGATTCAGCTGATGGGAGCTGAATTCCAAAATACTGTATGTGGAGCCCCCCCCACCACACTGGTTGTGTCTGGTCTGAGTAAGAGGCAATTGTGGCCTCAGTCGCAACTCCACTCTCCCCCAGGCAGTGACTAAAACAAGGAGTGATAAAATCAACTCAACCAGACAACAATCTGGATTAAAAATGGCCACAGCTTTATTGACTGCAGAAGTAGGTGGAATTTTGGCGCAGGCATCGGGTGTCTATTTGTCCTAGCCTGCTGCCGGAGGGCTGAAACATTTTCAGGGTTATGCCAAGGACTTTGGCCTCTCCGAGACCCCAAGCTACTGAGGTGGCCATGCTAAGGCCATTTGCTGGAAGCTCTAAGGCCCGCCTGCCCCATGCTTGGCTTCTGGACAGAGACTTCCACCCTCTAATGGGGTGCCCTGAATACGCTGCTGGTACTGGACTGGGCAATGCACCTTCACCCAAAGATATGGAGGGCACCACACCACATGGGTTGCCCCTAGTCGAAGTGAGATCCATTTAGCAGCTGCATTATCCTTTTACCTCTTGCATTGGGGCTTCTTTTGTATCTCTGAGGAAAAGGAATAGATTTAAGAGTTTAAAATTCAAAACAGGCAACCCAGCAACAACCAAGTGTCTGCACAGAGGGTGCGGAAGAATGGAAAACATAATCAATGGAAGCTGGAGGAAGGTGACTCAAGAGCCACCAGCCCACACCACTTCTTCTGGTGTAACACACCACACTTGCCTACCGTCAGGCTAGGCGGGGAAAGGGCCACAGTCCAGAGGGAGACTACCTGCTTGGCCTGCTGAAAGTCCCAGGTAAAGCTGAGAAAGACATCTGTTTTGAAAACCCTGGAGAGCTGCTGCCAGCCAGTGTATAACAAATACCCCAGCAGCCTGATTTTGATACAAGACAACTTCCTATGTTCCTGATGTGAATGAGCTAAGAAAAAGTGTCAGGGTCAAGCTTGGACTTCACTTGGGCAATGGTGCGTTGGTTTTCTATCCTTATTTCTGGTTCCCCTGCCTGATGGCATCTTCTTAGGCCTCATTCCCAGGAAAGGGTGTCTCCTGCTTTTGCCCTGCTAGCTCTCTCAGCCACATCCACATCATAAAGTGCCATGAATACACTTTAAACAGTCCTGGCTTCCCCCAAAGGGTTCTGGGAGCTGTCGTTTGTTAAGAGTGCCAAGAGTTGTCAGGAGACCCCCATTCCCCTCCTAAAGCTACAGTTCCTACAGTGGTTTAACAATCCCTCTCCTCAGGGACATCTGGGAATTATAGCTCTGTGAAGGGGAGAGGGGCCTCCTTAATGGCACCCTTCATGGTACAGCTCCCAGAACCCTTTGGGGAAAGTCAGGACTGTTTAAAGTGGCATTGTAGTGCTTTCAAGGTATGGTGCGAATGTGGCCTAACAAGTGAAGGAATTCCAATGGGTCTACTCTGAGTGGAACAACCTAGTTGCTTAACAGTCCTTTGTGGCCTTGTAGGTGTTGTGACCTCTTGTGAGAAGGAAGCGTGGCTGGGGAGTGGCAAAGCGTGCCCACAGCCTGCAACGTCTCAGAAGCAGCTCATGCAACCTCTCACCTGGCCAGGTTCCTTGGAGCTGCGATGAATGAGCCTGGGACCTTGCAGTGTTTAGCTGAGGGTGTGGATGGAGGACAAGGTTCTAGCTACTTGCTGGGGACGGTGGTGGGATGGCCTTGTTCCTCTATGCTTGGGAATCTCTCTGTTTGTTTTTGTATCCACTCCTCAGTTTCTGCTACGGCTCCTTCTGCCTCCTTGTTCCACTCAGACTCTCTGAAGATTCTGGACTAGAAGTCACTTTACGTCTGGCCTGCTTCTTCCTTTACAAAATTGCCAGTTCTGCTCCCCAGGTTATCAGCCCTGAGTCCGAATGAAGCCTGCCAGAGCTACAATTCTCAGAGTTCCCTGTGAAGAGGGATTGATGGTCTGGGAATGGTAGCTTTGTGAGGGGAACAGGAGTCTCCCAATAACTCTCCGTGTCCT